CCCCCCCCCTCCTCTCTCTGTCTCTCCAGAAATAACAGGGAGTTCTATCCTTTCTCTTTATATTTTTTTCTTCATTTTATTTTATCTTTGTTTTTATACATTTTTCCTAAACGTTTCTCATAGTCCAGGGAACTCCTCGATACAAAGGAAGGCTCCGGAAGGTGCTTCCAGTACTTTGCAAATGTCGGCATGTCAGTTGGGTCAACGCGTTCCGCCACTTAACAGGAACTCATCTCTTGCAAGGTTCCAATGCGTCTTGTGACTGCGTGTTGCACAATGGGCTGTGGGCCACTAGTAGGTGCGGTGCGTCCACGGGTCACTGTGACCCCCCCATGGAACAGGAACACTATCGTACCTCTAACATATGCACCAGTGAATGCTTCTGGCAGCCGATACACATGAAGTGGATTTTATATATATATAATATGTTTTAATATTATTACGGTTTATTTAATTTTTTTTAAAGACAATCTAATTTTTACTTTCCCTCCCCCACCTGTAATGTAAATATGTCGGAGCACAGTGTAAATATGTCGGAGCACAGTGTAAATATGTCGGAGCACAGTGTAAATATGACGGAGCACAGTGTAACAATGTAGATTTAGGACTTTTATTCAGTCGGAGTTCTTTTCCTTCTTTGAATGTTTCCTTTTTCGGGCTCCCACGTGGTTGTCCCTGAGGGGAGATGACACTCGGTCCTCGGCGCCCATCGCTGAACCGTCTCCTTCTCTTCTCTTGCAGATGACGTCAGGCTGTTCGCTTATATTAGGGTCACCACTGGAGACGCTCTGAGCAAGAGGGTGAAGTTTGCCTTAATCACATGGATCGGCGAGAACGTTGGCGGCCTGCAGAGAGCCAAAACCGGCACGGACAAGACGCTGGTGAAGGACATCGTGCAGGTCAGTTCTGGACGGCGGAATGTCAATCAAAGATTATTATCCTCACACCATGTGCAAATGGCTTCCAACACAATGCTAAACTTACACCCGCTAAAGACAATTTGTACTGTCAGGTTGTAGCCTCTCAGCTTGCTACAAAGTTACACTGTTGCAAAATGATCACTGGGGGGAGGGGAGACTGAGGAAATGCTTCCTCCTGCCTGCAGCAGACTAATCACTGGGGGAGGGGAGACTGAGGAAATGCTTCCTCCTGCCTGCAGCAGACTGATCACTGGGGGAGGGGAGACTGAGGAAATGCTTCCTCCTGCCTGCAGCAGACTGATCACTTTTTAAAGATAAAAGGTAGAGCTTTTCTGGAAAAAAATTATACTGTTCGGGGGCGTCTCGAGGCCGGGTGTCACCCCGCCGTGTCGTCATCGCACATGCGCGGCCATCTGATTGATGCCTGTCGGCGGCCATGTTGGTGATGGACGGCGGCAGAGAGAGGAGGGAACATTCACCCGGCGGGATGAGGTATGGGTCGGGTCCTTTCCTCTCTCTTACAAGAAAAGAATTGCTGATTATCATCGTGTGGTGTGCTGGTGACATGCTTCAAACCCTCCTCTCTCCTGACACTGGCGGGCTCTCGGCCCATGACCGAGTGCCTGACTTTTTAGAGGGAGTGACACCAAAATGACTGTCAGTCATTTTTGGTGTCGCCCCTGCAATGGTGACACCCGGGTGCGGGCCGCAGCCCCCCTTGTGACGCCACTGATACTGTTGCTGTATATTGTGACATGTCAGACTTGTAAAGTTACAGACAGGTCCACTTTAAGGCAAAACAAACGACAAACGCACTCAACAATTTGTTACCAGTTATACAGTAAGGGTCCACTTTAAGAGCGCCAATAATGGGTCGGAGATTGCAGAAAGCCCCGAGCAGCCATGTCAGTGACAAAGTCCGCATTCCGCAGCCAGCATTCCCTCTCTGTGACGAGCGTATGCTGCGTTCTGCTTTGGCACATTGAGCCGCAGGTCAGGGTGAGGGGGACAAGAGGGCCGGATTCATGATTAAACCTCCCTGGCATGGCCAGACCTCAATAGCGGCCAGTGTTCAGATGTGAACAAACAGGCGCTTGTACTGCGTCCGCGGAATGCATTGTTGTGTCTCTATAACAGTGTCGGTTGTGTCAGGCTTAACGCCGATCTCACAGGTTAGGCTGCCCCCATTTTACTTCTTGCCATTTAAAGGAGAACTCCACTCTGATGAAAGGAGCAGAATACTCTTTTAGCATGAAGGATTGGCGGAATCGCTGACTATATTTTCTTAAAGGGTGTTATGTTACTTTGTATCTCTCTATCTCCCTCTGATCAATGTTTATAAACAATGTTACTTTGTATCTCTCTATCTCCCTCTGATCAATGTTTATAAACAATGTTACTTTGGGTCTAGTTCCTGTCTGCTTCTGTATTTCTACAGCTGCCAGTATGATGGGTAGTAATTGTTGGCAACAGAAATACCGGTGAAAACTTTACACTTCTTGTTTAATCTTTTAATCTTTGACCAACCGCTCAGTATCTGCAACCCCCCTCTACCGATCCCTGCACTGGCTTCCATCCTCCACCCTCCTCTGCCAATCCCTCCGCTGGCTTCCATCCCCCACCCCCCTCTACCAATCCCTGCACTGGCTTCCATCCCCGCCCCCAAACCCCCGGCGTCCTCCCCCCCCGCCCCCCTCTGCCAATCCCTGCACTGGCTTCCACTTGCCCAAAGGATAACATTCAAAATATTAACAATCACTTATAAAGCCGTCCACAACTCCGCCCCCGGATATATCTCAGACCTTGTCTCAAACCATCACCCTAACCATCCCCTCCGCTCCTCCCAACACCTCCTGCTTTCCAGCTCCCACGTCATCTCCCATGCTCACCTCCAGGACTTCTCTATAGTTTCTCCCATCCTCTGGAACTCTTTACCCCAACCCGTCCATCTATCTCCCACTCTCAACCCAATCCCTTAAGACTCCTCTCTTCAGGGAAGCCGATCCCGCCTCAACCTAACCACTCAACCATCCATCCCCCACACAGCTCCCGCCTCATGTATCACTGGCCCCTCCCCCTTTTAGATTGTAAGCCCTCAGGGGCAGGGCCCTCCTTACCACCTTGTCTGGAATTGTAATGTCTTCCTTATATTGTACAGCGCTGCGCACACTGTTGGCGCTTTATAAATCCCGTATAATAATAATAATAATCTTTTCTTGCAGAATTTTGCCAAAGAGCTGGTCATCACCGACCGCAAAGATCTGGCTGAGGATTACATCAAGTCCGAGCTAAAGAAGGCCGGAGGTGCCAACTACGACGCTCAGACAGAATAATCTCACCGCGCTGCTTTTTCGTATGAAGCCAAGAAGTCGCCGCAACGAAAACAACTGGAGAACCGGCGGAAGCTGTAAAAAAAAAAAAAGAAGAAACTGGTTATTTCTTTGCATAATTTTCTTCCTCTCCCCCTCCCCCGCCCCGCCCAGACTTTGATATCTTGTGCGCTATATCTCGGTTGATATTAATCATGGCGGTCGCGCCGGTCTATCGGCAGCCGCGCGGTTGAATCTGCTCTGTTATGTCGACAGCTCGCCACAAGTTCAGCCAGCTTCTGCATCTCCGAGACAAACTCCTCCTCCTCCGGTGATGCATTGGATTTCCCGCGACACTCCAGGGACTCGGCGCGCTCTGCTGACCGATCGCTGCTTTTGTAGTTTTATCTTCTGGAATGTTCTTAATTATGTTCAAATGTTGCAAATTTCTCTGTTAAGGAATATTCACTGTTTGGGAACCTTTTTAATAGCTAAATAGAGCCAAGCTGGTACCTGAGGGAGCTCCCTGTACAGACACCCTGCGGCACCGTATTCCCGAGCTCGGTCCGCTCTCTGACAAGGGGCGGGTACCTGCGGCGTTGGATGTACCGCGTGGAGGCAGCCTGATCAACCGCCGGCTGAGTCACCTCCGGTGCGTATAGCTGATGTGATAGGTGCCCGCCTCTTGTCAGAGCACAAACTAAATGGCATCATGCAGGGGCGTCCCGAGGCTGGGTGACACCCGGAGCGGGAACTGAGTGTCACTGCGCCGAGACGTCACTGCGCATGCGCAACGACGTCATCGCGGATGCGCGTCAGTATTCTGATACCTGCCGGCGGCCATCTTGGAGAGAGGAGGGGACAGTCACCCGGCGGGATAAGGTATGCAGCCGGGTCCCCTCCTCTCTCCTGATACTGTCGGCGTTCGATCCATCACCTACTGTGACTCATTTTGGTGCCGCCCCTCCAATGGTGTCACCTGGGTGCGGGCCGCACCCCCCTTATGACGCCACTGCATCATGCCAACTAGGCACCAGTGTAGGAGCCCCATGTAATACATTAAAGTGGACCTGTCGTCAAATATAGTTCATGAGTAACGTGTCCGTGTAACCCTTCCTGGAATGCATTACCTCGCAGAGAGATCACATGACTCCCCCTGACAATACCATCTTTGTTCAGGCATCATCTGGGGGCACCATCCACCTGCATTGAGATGCCGCTCAAAGATGACTCTATCATGTAAATCCTGGTACAAAATTACAATGTTGATGATGCCTGGGGGAGGGGGGGGGGGACTGAGGAAATGCTTCCTCCTGCCTGCAGCTGACTGATGACATCATCTCTTCCTCCTGCCTGCAGCAGACTGATGACATCATCTCAGCCTAGGCAAAGTCACTGACTGGAGCTCCAGGACGGCTTATTAATGATAAAAAGGCGGAGCTTTTTTAGGGATTTGTTTCTTGCAGGTTTGTGAAATGACGGAAAGTTCCGCTTTATCCTCTCCAATGTACTAACTTGGCTCTATGTAGCTGGAAGGGAACTCGCCTGTTACGCAGAACCCACCGAAGCACAATTTGCTTTTTAAATAACCACATTTCTTGTCTTAGAAAGTCTGTGAAGTGAGTCCCTTTTATTATCTGTCGGTGATCTTGCAGACGGGGGACACCTCATTGGTATTCTGAACACAAAGCCCCCCGTGATCATTCCATAGTAACGCGACCCTCCAGGCAGACGCGAGTTAAAGTGACCTCGCCGCTCTTGTCCCAATTTCGTCCTTTTGTTTGAATTGGAGGGTCTGAGAAACGTGTTTTCTTACTTCTGAACATTCCCATGAAAATTGCCAAATTGCCCTCCTTCTGCACGTAGCTAGGTCAATGTAGCCCGTCTACAGCCCCGCAGATACTCCCTGCTCCCTATTGGTACATTGCAAGGTCACATGATGCAGCACCATTGCTGGTTGTATGTCTGTATGTTAAAGAGATTCTACTCTCTTCACTTGTTCATGGCGGGCAGTGAGCGGTTCGCTCCTTGCGGACCTTAGCGCAGGAGAGCCAGGGGCTGCGTGGTGTCTGAACCTCTATCTGAAATCAGCTGTGTGGAAGCAAGGCCCCTGTAGGCACTTACTGGACTGATTGGGTTTCTAATGAAGCATTTCTTCTACCAACCGGCCCTTTCAAGCTCAGCTGATCTTTAGATACAGTAGAATGTTACATGACCTGCAAATGCCGTTTGCGAAAGGTTTAAAGATCGCTCTGGAAAGGTGATGACGTTGTTTTTTTGCTGTTGTTTTGTAACTAAATCTGTATGTCGGAGATGAACCGGACTGGAATGAATCTTGTTTACATCCTGCGCGACTCGACTCGTTTTGTCCTGTGAGAATGCGTGAAATGCGCTCCATCATTTCGGTGGGGGGGG